GAGGAAGTTATTGAATCCATCGTAGAGGACAAGATTCTACAAGTATTTAGGATTCCACCAGGCCAAACTGACAGACCATACACAAATAAAGCAAAGATTAATTAAAGAATACCAAAGTACGTTAAACCCTATTCTCTGAACACAGTTAAATGCAAAACCTACAGTTAAAGCAATAAATACATATGTCATCCCAGTACTCACATATTCTTTTGGACTTATACATTGGACTCGCACAGATCTTGAACAACTCCAAAGGAAAACAACAACAACAATAAGCATAAACATCATCATCATACAAATCAGCCATACAAAGATTAAAGATTACCCTGAAGAACTCAGCTTCTACCATACTATTGTAGATGTGGTTTTTTTCTGTTTTTGTAGAAAATCAAACATATTTTCAGACCCATATATAAATTTTCTAATTAGCCTCAGAAGAGGAGGGACCTAATTATTGCACCTGGTGTAAACAGGTAAGATAGACTATATATTGATAACTGTAAAGATTATCTTATGTAACGGTTTATCACACTGAATGAATAATATAACACATTTTAAAAATTCTTTATTCCTCTACTGTACACAATTTAAAATTTTTTTTTAAATGTGTTAGATTGAGCACTCAGTGTGATAAACTCTTACATAAGATAACCTTTGTAAATATAAATCAAGTACTATAATATAGTAGAAGAATTAGAAGTACAAAATAATCTAATAATCTTAATCTTTGCTGTTGTTATTTTTTGCCTGAGCAATGCCAGGCTCAACTGCTAATAATTTAATATTAAACATGTCAAATAATTTATTTTTTCTCATAATTTTTAGACAAAAAATTTCTGAAGATATTATTGTTCAAAAATTGTAGATATAAAATATATTGGTAAAAAGAACATACTTGATTATTATGTCGTTTTCATCATAAACTTAAATTAGTTAATTCATGTAATTATAATATAATTTACATTATACGATTAACTTTTAAATTTGCCTAGTTAAATTGTTCTGATTAGAAAAACCAGTTTATCATTATCTTTTTTAAATAAAAGGATGAAACAAATATATTAAAAATTGCACAGGCAACAGAATTATCCATCCAAAATCAATGCATTACCTGAGCTTGATGCCAATTGAATTCATAATTAGATTAAAATGTTTGATTTATTTGTTCTCACATTCAAATGATAGTGTATACCTATATACAGTGGTACCTCAGGATACAAACGCCCCAGCATACGAAATTTTCAGGATACGACATGAAATTCGAACATATTTTTGCTCCACGATACGAACAAAAATTCACCATACAAAGTTACGTTAGTTTGCAGCGCCATTTTTTATTCACTTCCGTTCATCAGTCTCAGTCCACATGTTTGCTTCATCGTGAAAGGATCTCGCTCGACAAAGGAAATCTTGAGGTATTATCAGAAAGTGACTTATTTTATTGAAAAGAAACATTCCGAAAAGGTTCACACTGGCCATATTGCTGCTCGGTTTAATGACATTTGCCTAAGTCATTTTAGAAACATTTTAAAAAGTAGGCAAAGCCAAACTTCTTTGGATAAACATTTTACCAAGTGACCAGCGAAAGTGCTGGTGGAAGTGAAGGAAAGAAAGTAAAAAAGCAGTGAAAAAAATTTAAAAAAATATATATAAAACAACACTAATTTTTTTTATCTTTTATGTTATGTAAGTTAAGTTTTAGTATCATTTCCCTTTTCCCTGTCTTCCGCCACCAGTTTACACCTCCACCGTCGTCTATCCTCAAAGGTAAAGTGCAAATAAAACTTCATTTTTTTAATCAATTATTATTCTATTATGGTTATTTATACATTTACAACTACAAAATGCATTTTTCAGTGTTTTCCTTACTATAGTTATTTTTTTTTAATGTACTACTTAGCTTTAGTTTGAGTGTCTTTTTCGTATTGGAACAAATTATTTGGTTTTACATGTAATCGTATGGGGAAAAATGATTCACCTTACAACATTTTCATGATATGATCTCAGTTTCAGAACGGATTAATTTCGTATCCTGAGGTACCATTGTACAGTGAAACCTCAGTTTTCAAATGCCTCACTTTTTGAACAATTTGATTTACAAGCAGAATTTCAAATTCATAATTGCACCAGTTAGCATATAACTTGGTTTCCGAATAAGCTACTTGGCAAGAACCAGCCATAGATTACAGAGACAAATGGTCAACTCCCTATACTTCCTATGTTAAAGAAAGTATATAGCCCAACCAATCAATGACAGAACAAAGACAGATGTTAGTGGTGCAGATATCACCTCACTTCATTACATGTCACAATATGAATCATCAATGACGTTGCTATTTACATTAGATTTCAATGTGAATAAGAAAAATATATTACAGTAGAGCATTGATTACCCAACTCAATTGGTGACTGGGGTTAGTCGGATAACTGAAAAATATGAAAAAATACATTATTAGTATAGTAATTAGTATATCGCTATTAACCTACTTCGTGTTGAATTTTCGTTGATGTTAAGCCAAACAAAAATTTTTAAAAAATAATTGTGAAGGTCTGAAACCCTTTTTCTGTTTTAGAACAGTATAAACCTCATGATTTTCTTTGTAAAGGGAACCCGAAGGGGGCCTTCTGCAGTCAATGACCAAGACACTCTCCTCAAATAAAAAAAATGTTAAAATATCAATAAAAGAAATCTCCTCCATTTGTTTAACAGTAATTCTATAGACTATAATATCAACAAGACGGGAATAAGAAATGTTTCTTATCCCCCTCTTTGGTTGCATGTGACACGTGGCTACAGCAATAAATCGCCTTGTTCGTCATCAGACGCAACATTTGATATAAACAATATCTAGATTGTTGACCAGTTTACAGAAATTGTCGTCAGCTGAATGTTAATTTATGGATGAGAGCTGTCAAACCTATAGAAATTTATATTATAAAATCATATCTTCTAGACACCAATATCAATAAATTAAACAAACTTCTCTGTGACAATGGTCCGTACTAGCTAGATCCAGACATTAACATACTAACAGGTGTGCTTATAAATCATTAAGGAATAGATATTAATGAGGATCTGAGCCTCTCCTTTGTCGGAAATATGGGAAATGCAACCCCGCTAACCGCCCTCTGAACTTCAGTTTGGAATTATTGTTATTAATCTTGTTATTTGTAACCTTTTAGTATAGCATTTATTAATTAAATTTATATAAAATCTTAAACATATGTGTTTACTCGTACTCGGCCAACACCTTATCGACTTATCCGCGACCTCCCACTCAATTTTCACCTTCCTAAATTGCCATCCACTGACCCTGTGAGTGGGACTCACCTTCCCGTTGTCAGAAGATGGTTTAAGTTTCATCGCTTAAACCCTGATTCTCACATAATAATAGTCGCTACTGTATAGTTAAAAATTATTTTTAAATTATTTTATTGCTCACAAAACAACCACTCATAATTAGAAAATTAAGCCTCGTTTAAATACTGGCCTCCCTTTCATGGTCAAGCCAGTGTTTTCTGCAGCCGGATGGCCGAGCGGTCAAGGTGGCAGCCCACCGCACTGGGGTCCCGGGTTCAAATCCGAATGGGTCAAAAAATCCCCAGGAATCTTTCAGGGGGGTGGTCCGTTCAGATATGTCAGGCCCGATCCCTCACCATCCAGCAGCCCCATTGTGGGCCTGACTGGGCTTGCAAAAAGAGGCCCTCTTAGTGCCCACAGGGCAGAAAGAGTTAAAAGAAAAAAAAAGAGCCAGTGTTGCCAGCTAAAATACAAAAATTTAACAAAAATATTATTAAAGTAGCCAAGATATTGTAGCACCACATCACTAGCAGGCATTTGAATTTGCCGACTAGAACGCAGTCAGTTAACCGATGTGACGGTTGATCGAGGGGTGGATAATCGATGCTCTACTGTATTTCCATTTTTTGGTACATGCCTCAGTTGAATCTAAATCAAATTAACTAATAAAAACCACATTAATTGACATTCACATAATACAAATGGCATCCAAGAATTTATGTTTAAATATGCTTAAGTTAAATTAAATAACAAAAATTTATTAATATATTATTATAATATATATATTATAATAATATATTATAATATGTATATTATAATAATATATTAATAGATTTTTGTTATATAATTATATACAGGGTATCTCAGTTAAATGTTTCAGAACTTCTAAGAGGGGTAGGGTGAATCCCAATGACTTGGAATCATATAGCAATGCAGGGTCAGAAATGCTTTCCTGAGGCAGTGATGTACACAGAAACAGCTAACCTCTGGTGCAGGCTTACAAAGAAATTATGGCTGGGAATATGCCTCATCAGATATCGTTCTGCATACAAGCGCTGTGCTGCTGGCCCACTACAATCTGCAGCCCCATATACCAAATGCATATTGGCTAACTCTGCTTCCTTGTGCGAAATGACAATTCCCTGCAACAATGCTCGGAACTTTTGCACAATGCCAACTACCGCTTCAGGAAAACATATCCAACCCTGCATTGCTATATGATTCCAAGTCGTCGTGATGCACCCTACCCCTCTTAGAAGTTCTGAAACGTATAACTGAGACACCCTATACATAATTATAATTAATATATATATATATATATATTAATCAATTTCAATTCAATAATATATAAAAAAGTAAAAAAGGGCTTTGTTTTCGGGGTCATGAATGGATTAATCCATTTTATATTCTTTCTTATGGGAAAATTTGTTTCAGTTTGAGAACAACTTTTAGGAACGAATTATGTTCAAAAACTGAAGTTTGACTATATTACATATACCTTTATTTTGGACTCAGCCATTCAAATTATAAAGAATTAGACAATTTGTCTTCAGAACAGTGTTTCAATCATCAGTTTTTATTTCAATTTCTAGAACTACTTTAAAAAAATTTCAAGTTTAAAATTAAGAAAACAAAATCAGGTTAAATTATAAGGTTCTATTTAATATTAATTATTCATTATAAACATATCTGTAGTTACCCTTTGAGTTTCTGGATCAGCTGCATTCATCATCTTCGGTAAAATCATAATTAGAAGAAGTGGCAAAACCATCATCAATACCTACATTAAAACAAATTTTTAAATTAGTGTACATTTTTACTAAATTTTTATTTTTGAGTAAAATAACATTTTAAATCTAAGCACTGAGAAATGTTAAATACATTCTTTGAAAATAATTTAGAAGTAAAATAAATAATCTTATAATTTAGGTTAATAATTAAGAACAACAATTATATTTCCACTCTTTTAAATATAATTTCTGCAAAATGTCTAGTAATTTTGAATAACAAAACTATTTTTTAATTATTAAATTATTTTGAATTTGAAAATATATAAAAATGGTTTATTTTTATATATTTTCAAATTCAAAATAATTTAACTCAAAAATTAAAAAAAATCTTTTATCTAATCATCATCAATGGCTGCATTCAACATACTCAATAGTTTTAATTGAGCAGAAGCATAATAGTAGTAACTGCTAAGCTAGCAATGACTCTGCTGAAAAATGAATTATGAATTGATGTGAGTGGCTTACAAAGTAGGTTACAGTAGATTACACTCATTTCCAAAAACTTGAAAACATTCTATGAAGCAAATTAAATTCATTCTTAAATTTAAATTTTGCATAAACAGTGATACCTTGTACTTTGAATGAATAGAGAGATTGCGGCTGATGTTTTCATTGCAAAAACATGAACATCGAACATTCAGCACCACCTTCCTATAAGCCTAGAAGTTTGACAATGGCATTTGGAATGTCGAGCATGATTCCACTGACATTCCAAACACCATTGTCAAACTTCAAGGCTTACAGGAAGGTAATGCTGAACATTTGACTTTCATGTTTTTGTGATGTAAACATTGCCGCAACCTCTCTACTAACTTTGAAGGTTGACTAAATGAAAATATATGCTTGCAGCATAAACACCATCTATTGTGTCCAACTTGTCTCACTCTTAGTGTGAAAGCATTTCTTGTATTATGCTCATATGTTTACAGTGTTTTTTTTTTGCTTTATTTTTTGTATGTTTGATATATATATTGCTACCTACCTATTAATCATGTTATTCAAGAAAAGTATGGAAGCAACAAAGTCCAAGAGGAAGGTTGCAGTATTGACGTTTGCAGTGAAAAAGAAACTTATCATAAAGCATGACAGTAGTATACATGTGGTGGATCTGGTAGCTATGTTCAAAATGCTGAAGTTGATAATGTTCATCATTCTTAAGAACAAAGATGCAATAAAAGCAGCAAATCTGGCTAAAGGTGTGACAACATTGACCTCCAGGAGATCACATGCTATTGAGGCAATGGAAAAACTCTTCCTAGTTTGGATAAATGAGAAACAATTGACTGGTGATAACATTTCTAAGGGGATTATTTGTGAGAAAGCCAAACAGCTGCACAAACATCTTAAGAATGGAACATCACATTTTCATTTTATTATACAGTACTTATGTATTTTATTTATTGTTTTCACTTTAATTTATTATATAGCATTTAATTGTGCTATTTTTACCTTAAAATATGTATATTTGTTGTTTAAGTTTATCAAAATGGATATTGTTTAGGGTTTGGGAATGGATAATTCACTTTCCATTATTTCTAATAGGAAAAATTGATTTGAAGCTCAATAATTCAGAGTTCAAATGGCCTCCTGGAATGAATTAACTTCAAAGTACAAAGAACTCTATCTCTCTCTTTAGTTGTTGATAGCTTTGTATGGTTGAATTAATACCATAATGCATATGCTTTTATTTGTAAATATTTATTTCACTTGTACGAGTATAGCCATCTTTGATCAGTTATAGCTACCAAAAGATGGCATAAAAGAAATCTACTACTAAATGCAGTCAAAACACTCAATGAGTTCTGAAGTACAGTGGAACCTCGGTATACGACCTTAATCTGTTCCTAATGTTTGGACTTATACCGAATAGGACATATACCAAACCAACCTTTCCCATAAGAAGTAATGTAAAAATGATTAATCCGTTCTCATGAAAAAAATGGCTGGCTTTAAACACCTCTGGACTTTTTCCTGGCTAGTTCCTGCTTGATTTTTTATGAGATCAGCATATATCTTTTTAGCTTTCTTGCAAATAATTGCTTCCAATACAATGTCGCAAGCACACTGTTTTTCAGTTATTCAAAGCAAAAGCAATTTCTCAACATGATCTAATGTCTTCGATCTCTGTTTAGAAATTGATTTAACTCCTTTCGCAACATTAACAGATTAAATATCTTTCATGATTGTCAATATCGTCGTTCTCGGAATACAGTATGCAACAGTTAAATCTCGAACACGCGTACCACCTTCATATTCCTCAACAATCTCTTTTTTCAGTTCCATTGTGATTCTAGTCATTTTTTTAGTTTTCTGTTGCATTTCACTTGTCTTTTTGCAATTCATGATTAATAAAAATACGAGGCGTGTCCAGAAAGTAAGTACCGTTTTGGAAAAACTCACATAAAAAATCTTTTTTCAAAACAGAATTTATTTTTACATGAAAGAGCATGTTGGAAACTATTTTTCTACATAGTTACCACCATTGTTCAGACATTTGTCATATCGGAAAACCAACTTGTCTATACCCTCTTCAAAGAAAGATGCTGCCAGTGAAGACAGCCACTGCTGAACATTGGTTGTTGCGTGTTCATCGCTGGTAAAGTGCCTCCCTCCAAAATCACGCTTCAAGTTCAAGAGCAAATGGTAGTCTGCAGGTGCGAGGTCAGGGCTGTACGGCGGGTGATCAAACTGCTCCCAACCGAATTGTTGAATAAGGTTTTGAGTGACACCAGCAGTATGGGGACGTGCGTTGTCATGAATGCCTTTACTGAGATTTCCACGTCTTTTGTTTTGAATTGCATGGCAAAGTTTTCGCAATGTTTCACAGTATCGTTCTGCATTGATGGTTTCACCTCTGGGAAGGAACTCAACAAGCAGAACACCCTATCTGTCCCAGAACACAGTGCACATGATTTTTCATGCTGACAACGTTTTGAATTTGTGTCTTGTGGGGGACCATGAGTGCCTCCACTCCATCGACTGTTGTTTTGATTCTGGAGTAACATGACAAACCCAAGTTTCATCACCGGTAACAATTTTGTTTAGGAAATCTTTACCCTCTTCACTGTATCGGGTAAGAAATGTCAAAGCACTTCCAAGTCGCTTCGTTTTGTGGACATCCATAAGCATTTTGGGAACCCAACGGGAACACAATTTGCGATAATTTAAGCGATTTGTGACAATCTCATGCAAAACAATTTTTGAAATTTGTGGAAACTCATCACAAAGCAATCTTATTGTGAACCATCTGTTTTCAAGAATTTTCTCATTCACTTTTGCAACCAAACCATCATTGACAACAGAAGGCCAGCCACTCCATGCTTCGTCATAAACATTGGTATGTCCAGCATTGAATTGTTGAACCCACTTTCTTACCATTCCATCACTCATTACATTTTCACCATAAATCTCTACAAGTTGACGATGAATTTCAATAGGCTTAACATTCTTTGCGTTCAAAAACAGTATTACAGAATGCACTTCACAGTCGGCGGGATTGGCAATCGTCTTAAACATTTTGAACGCTCACTAACACGTGGAAAAACAACACAATCCAGCTCTAATGGCGTCACTGGACAGACGATCAACCAGAGACACATGTGTGCAGGTGCTGAACTGTGATACTACCGCTGCAGTGGCGGCAGAACAAAACGGTACTTACTTTCCGGACATGCCTTGTAATAAAATTTTACTTACAAATTAAAATCAGAAGAAATTTAACAAAGTTATAAACTGTGGTACCGTGAATGTCTAGTCTGGTCTAGTACACTGATAGTGCTACTTGTTCATAGATGGTGCGTATAACTGAATTAAGCCGTATACTGAACAAAAGTCGTATACTGAGCAAAATTTGTTTCGTCCAAACAGGACGTATTCTAAAGCAGACATATACCAAGATACCACTGTAATCTTATGTAGAGAGCATTCAACAGAAAAATACTGAACAATTTCAGAATTGCCATGTCTGCTGAACACAGCCAATATGAACCTGAAATATGCTAAATGATTTTAAAATTACAGTACATTTCCCTCTTCCAATTAATCTATTTAATTTGAAACTATAGACATAGGAAAATAGGGAGTTGTGAGAGATAATCATGTTTTAAAGTGTCAATAAGTAGTGTCAATAATTTGAATATTACATCACGTAAAATGACATATTAAGAACTATTACAAATACACTGAAGTTATTAATCTGGATTACAGAAAAACTTGTTGAAATTAAATGATGATAGTTTTTTCTGTTAATGTAAATTATCTATTTAGATCTGAATTAAAACTTTGGCGTTTTAATTTTAAGTAAGAATATACCATTAAACAACATTGGTGAATCACAATCAACATTGAGTTTCATGATCACAATGAAAATTGAGCATTAAACTGAATATGGCCTACAAATAAACTATTGTATCTGGATGTTTTTTAATAGAACTGACAAATACACTTGATGCCAAATTTGTATAGCTAACAAGCAATTATGCTTGTTGGTTATAGCCAAGCTGCAATTTTTTAATCATATTTTTAATTTATTTAATTTAAAATATATGCTCTCCACCTCAAATTAGTAGTGGCTTGCCCCTGTACATCATACTTTCCTTTAACAATAGAGTCATGCCAGTCATTTATTAAGGGAAGAAGTTTTGAATTAAAATAACATAACTTCCGGTTTGCATTGGAAGTTCATATATAGTTAATTGGGACCTCTTGCTCCTAATCCTTCCATATCTGGTCTTGAATTTCATCTATCTAATTCTATTCTTGAGTTAAGGAAAGACATATGGATGAACGGATGGATGGATGACAGTGGGAATTTATAGGTCTACAATTTTTTCAAATTGCAGCCAATAAATACACACTGTCTTCTGGTATTAATTTAATTTAGTTTAATTCAAACAAGAATACTCAAATTCTTGTTTGAATTAAACTAAATTAAATTAATGCTGAAAGACAGTATATATTTTTAAAATGCATAAAATTTGCATTAAATTTTTAAAATTTTAAATTTATCATTTGGAAATGCAAACCAACAGGCAGGAATTCTTATATCAAATAATAAAGACTGATTGATTGATTGAATTCCTAACATATTTCAATGAGAACCTGTTTAGGCTATAACTAGATATTGAACAAGGATCCAACTTCTAATCTGGTGGAATGCCATATTCACAATAAGGTGTAGTGTAAACCAACATACAGGTCCATATTCATTCTAGCTGAGTCATATGACCTGTTTTCCTACAGAGTAGCAACTTTCCAAGCATTAGTCAAAAAATCCTTCAAAAAACGACAGTACATATTTATTAATATTACTTAATTTTTCAATAATAAATTGTTGGTTTTAGAAAAACATATACCAAATAATAAGGATAATAGTAATAAAATTCTATGTAGCTTTTAAATCAATTAACAATTTTTAAATAAAAAAAAAAAATATGTCTGCCATTAGTCAGAAAATTTTAAATTAATTGTTTTGGAAAGTAAAAATACAATTTTTAAAAGTGTGTGTATATAACAAATATCAAAGTTTACTTACCATGGGATTAAATAAGAAATCTGTTATACGCCATGTTTCTCTAACTTGAAAGTATTTATAAGGTCCACGGACTTTAAATTTCAATGGATATGCTATTTGTTGAACTAAAGAACTTTGAATGTAATTAACTTTACGTGCACGGAACTTCCCTTTGGAATTTATATCAACTCTGGCAGTTTCATATACATAATTTGGATTGGCAACTTCAACAACGTATGAGCCTGGTGATAAATTACTTAAAGAAAAACTACCATCACTCCTATAAAAAATAAATCAATTTATTAATTTTTCTTTATAAAAGATAAACAGTCAAGTTGCCATTTTGTGCTAAGATACCAATTAACTGCTTATCTTTAACCCAAATTTTAGTTTAATAATTTAATAATTAGCTTAATTAAAGGCTGAAAATAATCTGGCTTGTTCATAGATGGTGTGTATAATTGAATTAAGTCGTATACTGGGGTAGTCAAACACTTGGATGTTTGACTATTTGAGAATATCTTGCAATATACAAAAATATACATTTTTGTAATAAACTATATACTGGATAAAAAATAAGTTAAAAATGACACCTTTCTCAATCCAGCAAACATTTAATATAATAAAAACATTTTCAATCGTTTAAAACCATCTTCATTGTTTAAAACAATCATGAAGTTACCAATCTGCAAGGACATCTTCCATTACTTTTTATATTTATTCCATAATCATTTTATATTCTATTTTTCTGTAACTGATGAAGATCATTTAAAATTATTGAAAACGTTTTTATTATATTAAATTATTGCTAGATTGACAAAGGTGTAATTTTTAACTTATATGATTTTGTTAATTTAGAAACAAATAAATCATTGCTGATTTCAAGAAGCCAACTTTAATAAAAAGTTGGCTTCTTTAATTTCTAGGCTTCTTTCTAAATTAATAGGAAATTTTCTTTTCAGAAAGAAAAGAAAAATATCTCTAGGTAAGCCTTCATCAGCAATTATTTTTTTCAAATATTTTCAGTTGTTCTAGCAGACATCATCAGGGTACATACAAAATAAACATATTATTGGAATATAATGTTATTTAAAATAAACATATTATTGGAATATAATGGCATTTAACTCTTTAACTCTAAAAATTTCTTTTTTCTATATATCTGGAGATTAAATTGTTTTTACCCTTCAGGCTACAAGGGGAACTTTTAACTTCTAATAGTATTTGTAAAAAAATGTAATAGGATGAGGTCTTTGAAGCCACAAGTCAGTTGAAACATCCTGTTTATCATTGTTCTAAGTGCAAAGTGTCAGAAAGTAAGAGCAAAGGAACTTTTAGAGGAAGGAACAATAATATGAGTTGGGCTATTTTCATTTTTATTTGATGTTTGTTTTGTATGGAGTGTAGTTTGCCAATGCTTGTAATGTTATAGTTATTAGCGTATGGATTGGGCAAATTTTGTAAGACATGTAATGATGGTTGCTGTCCATAATTTGATAATAACAAGTTTGAAAATAGGCAGAGTAGATATGACTGTTTAAATTGATGTGACAGTATTTTGTAAAAGGAAGTATGAGAAAGGTAGGAAAATGAAAGGAACCTGTTAGATTGTGGGTGGTGTTTGCCAAGAGGATGGTGACTATTTTGTCATTCACATTAACAAGAGGTCTGAAAAGACATTAAATTGGGTTGTATACAAGTTTGTTCATGATGGAACAATAATTTACACAGATGAGTGGAAAGGATACTTACATAGACAATTTGGAGGGTCGCAAAAAACAGTCAAACACAGTGAGCATTTTGTAGATCCTGAAACTGGAGTTCATATGCAAAGGATAGTGTGTTTGTGGTCATATCTAAAGGACTGTAAAAATCTTCCTACGTATTTTGTTAAATAACTGTCCAATTTGTATTTTGTATTCTTTTATGCACAAGAAGTTGATGATCTGAAATTAGTCAGGCGAAAGGTTTCACATTATATAGTAAATGTGTATCCTGGTTATGGAAGGGAACCAGTTTTGAAGCCAGTAAGTGCACCTGTAGCACCAAAAGGCATAAAGAGGATCTTCTGGAAGACACATCTATTGCAATTTTAAGGGATTGACAAACAGTCATGAGTCATGCAATAAGTATATTTTGAATGTTTTGTTGTTTTAATCATCTATGTTATTTTTATTTGCCTCTTTTTTTTACTTATTCATAGTTTAAATATATATGTAAGATTAATTGTTGTTGTCCGTTTTAAGAAAATATGCTGTATGCACAGTTAGGATGTTGTCATTGATCTTAGTGAGAAAGCAGAGAGGGATTCATGCACATTACCTTCTTTTTACCTAGGTCTCATATGTAGACTGGAAGTGGCTTGTGATGTAGGAGAGGTTGTATGATTGTAAACTATAACTGCTCATTCCAAATTTACAGTAATTATATTTCTTCTGCATGTCTCACAAACTCTCTTCTTTCCTTTTTCCCCAACAGGATTTTTCACAGTTTTGACAGTTCCTTCTTGTCTTTTATTGTCTTGGCAAAGTCATTCAAAGTCAAAGTATGTGGACTGAATAGTATATAATGGAACTGATGTAGCATATGTCTTCCTCATCAATGTTCCCTTTATGCTGATCGTGTTGATTGAGATAGACTGTCATATATGAAAGGAAAAGATAAAATTGCAGAAACTTTAAATTTAAATGATTATAAGTATAATATTAAGCATTTGATTCCTGAAAAATTTTTAGAGTATGGAAAATATACGATCTGTTAATATAGTAAATTCATTTCCCATAAGATTAAAACTGAAATAGTCACATGCTCAAATGACACCTAGAGTTTCTCTTTTGGTCTGACTATATCTTGTTTCTGTTTGTGATAAGTCTGTTTGCATATGCTATAAATCTATACTGCATTCTTAGAATCTATAACCGGTGTGATATAAAAACAAAAGATAAAGATCACCACAAATGTTTTCAAACTGCTGCGAGTTCTTCCTCAGATGTGAAACTGAATTACTGATGGGACAGAGCAAACCGTTAAAGGAAATTCAAGAAACAATTAGAAGGTGTTACATGAGACGCATCCCGGTGTTTTGCAGTGTAGTGTAGCTATAAGTCTAACTTGTAAGTTGATTATTTGATGTTCTTGGAGTAATACAGCTCCCAGTCCGTAAGAAGATGCAATGCATCGCTATTATGTTAGAGGATAATCCCATCTGTAATATGCTAAAGTTATTTAACTGGATAGGAAATTCTTAAAATTTTTGAATGCTTTTGTGTATTTATTATTCCAAGACCACTTGACACCTTTTCATACCAATGACTTAATGGTTCTGAAATGATAGAAAAATTAGGTATAAATCTTGCACAAAATCCCATTAAACCAAGCATAGATTTAACTTCAGAAGATGAAGTAAGTTCTTTCAGATTCTTGATAGCTTGTATTTTCACTTCTGTTGGTGATATTCCTTTTGGTGTGAAGAAATGTCTCATAAATTTGACTGTTGGTGATCTAAAATGACATTTCTCTCTATTCAGAATTAGATTCTTGTTTTCTGACATTCTTTTTACTTGACAATGTCATTTATCATGCTCCTCCTTGGTCAAACACCACACAAATATATTATCTTCAATATGTATTATAAACATTGTACACAACTGGCAGAAATGACACTCTTAGTCAAAAATTACATGTTATCAATTCCTAGAATTAATAAAGTGTGAATTCTTGACTACAAGTATCATCTTCAATGTTATGAACTCCATTACTAAGTACACCAATCAAAACCATAATAATCCAGTAAGTAATTTAATGTAAATTTGACAAACATTTTCAATCTTACACAAGATCTGCTTCAAGTCAACATCATTCCAAATTGAAATGCATAGAATTTCAAAACTCCAGGAATTCCTGTAATGGTTTGTTTTATATTTGAAAAATTTCTGGAGTGGAAAATATTCCCCAAAAATAGTCATTTGTATCAATAAACACCTGAATCTACTGAAAAGTCAGTCATCAAAACAGAATGATATATCATCCAGTTTGATTTGATGAAATCTCATATCAAATAAAGTTCAGAAATAAAGTTTGCTCCTTACATCTCTTGATCATCATCATAAAAAGTATGAAGTTAATAATTAACATATTTTAGTTTGATTTGCTTATTGACACAGATGTAAAATCATCATTGGGTTTCTGTACAGGACAAATGTATTTAACCAGGAATGTTTATTTAAAGGTTCAAGGACATCTAATTTTAATAATCTCTGGATTTCTGCTTTGTTTTTTTTTGGTCACAGTTGAAAAGGAATACAACAAATATGTTGTGCAAAATATTGGACTATGTGTAAAGACAATTGAAATTTAAAAAATTTTTTCTAATCCTTTAAAACACTCAAGAATTTTTTTTTTTTTTTTTTGATAAATTTAGCAGCATATCTGACAGTATTTATTTCAAATTTAAATAACCTTAGTCTATCTGAGTTGTTCCTGCTTAGTACAGTAATTTCAAGCTACTCCTTCTACTATATATAAATCAGTTTTGAGTGATATATTTTTATTTCTAACAGTAATAGTGACTATACATCTTAGACAAATAGGTTTCATAGATCCATATTCAAAGTTTTTGGACATAAATTATCTTTAGAATTAATATGGTTGTAGTCTTTCCAACAATGTATTAACAGATGATCCAGTATTTAACAATATTTCCACATCAATATCTGAGATTGAAACCTTTATTTGATGGAAGGTCATGTTTTCACAAACTGAAGACATTATCATATTTGTTCATGTATGTAGGTTGGAGTATAGTTTAGAATGACAGATTGAGAAAAAAAAATGTTTCTTTTTATGATAAAAATGGCATTCTTTATTTTTAGTACATTGTACCAACACAGGTAACCAATGTACAACAGTACATTTGTTACCTGTGTGTCTTATCTCTGCATCAATCAAGTTGGAGAATGTTTAAATTTTTCAAAGTTGTTTAATATAAGAATGAAAAACTTGATTCAAACTCTTACCTTGATTTCATTGGTCATGGGTTTTATTATTTGTAACAGTCATATTGAGAGATGATGCATCATTTCCATTCTGTTCACCTTGTGGATTTGTTTCAAAAATTTTCAATTAACTCTCACTAGCAACAAAACTTCTACCTATTAGAAGTGTCTTAAGCAAGGTTTCTGACTTTTAAATAAGTTGCTTATGAAGCATTGGACTTTCACATCTGCTAGCAATTTGTATAAGGGTGAGTCAAAAAGTAAGTAGCAATTGTGCCAAAAATACAAGTATGAAACTTACAGGTCAAAGAATTTTATTTGTGTGAATGTACAATTCAAGTGCTACTTTTCAACATAATCACCAAGTGTATTTAAACACTTTAAACACTTATCATAATGTGGAAAGAGTTTTTCTATTCCTTCTTGGAAGTATTCCTGTCCAACATGCAATAGCCATTCTTGTGTTATGTTTGTGCCATCTTCATCAGACTTTTGGCGATTCGAAAGGTCCTTTTACATGGAGCCAAACACATGGAAATCACAAGGTGAAAGATCTGGACTGTAGAGAGGATGTTTACATACAATCTGTTTGATTTTTCCAGTAGAGCCTTCTGTGATACCTGCTGAATGAGGTTTGGCATTGTCATGCAAAGTTTTCTCATCATACACTTCCCTCAACTGGCATTGAATTTCAGTGGGATTGCACCATAAGAACAAGTTTCTGCACAAACTTCTAATTTGGATGCTACATCTTTCACAACTGAAAACAGGTTAACTTCTTCAGCCACATCTACAAATCTGCTATGTCTTGTAGCCAGAAGTACTACCAGCCATGCCACCAGATTTCATCTAAATATCATTTATCAACAAAAAGTTCTTGCCAGTTGCTTTTTGACTCTCCCTCATACTGTAATCATATCATCTTATAGGTAGTCAAAATTACAATTCTTTGCTGTTGCAAAAGTGCAATATTCTCCTCTGGGATTTAAGACTGTTGCTGGAACGGTATCATTCAAATACTACATTAACTGATGTGAGAACTGTGCATCCAAAGTTGCAATTGTCTTATTATAGGTTGTCCCGAAGTTATCCTTCCACTATGTCAAGAAGTGGTTCTCCTGAATGTAGAACTGTACATTTGTAACTAGATGCAGTTACATTTAAAGCAGTGAGGTATTGTTCCAAATCTCTCTACGAATGATCCCAACATAATGCAACTGATGGGCCCAACAGATCAAAGACTGGTAAACTTCAAAGGCCATCCATATCCAAGAAGTGTTAATATACTATTTGATTTTACCTTGCCAATTTTATAATTGACAACAGGTTCAGATGATATATACAAGTTTGTAAAAAACTATTATTTTGTTCCATACAGTCTCAGATACTGTAAGGTCTCGTTTTATGCGGTGGATACGTTCCACAGAAAAGCGCATAACAGGAAATTCGCATAAAAAAAGACTTTACTTGCCTTGAAAAAGTAGGGATACGTTCCGTAATTTTCTAAAATCGCATAAAACCAAAACAACGAGTTAAAATTAACTTAAAACCGCAAAAAAAGTTTGCAGATATTAAAAGAAATAGGCTGCTTAATGAATTACTTCGAATGTCTGAAAGAAATTCATATAAAAGCTTAAAATAAACTTGTATTCAAACTTAATTCAGTTAATTTTATTGAAAAGTAATATAGTTTTACATTTTTTTTTTGAATTTTTGGAATGTTTTTTAAGTCTCCAAATTTTTTAAAAATATTAAAAAATATACGGCCAGCTTCACCCTACTTTAAACCCTTGTCCTCCCGCGACGTTTATGAGAATGTCCCGGGAAATCCAACTCCAGCTGTGTTCAAGGTCATCCAGATGTATAAACTGACTCATCGGTGTTAAATTTCACAGTAGGGCAAGACAAAGGAAGTTAAACTTTGAAGCTTTTTCTTCAAAATTAACGCATTTCTTTAGTTTTTTTTCAGTTTTAAGTATTTTTTTATGTTTAATTACATTTATATCAAAAATTGCTAGGAACTAAGGCAATTAAGGTAGATCTAGCTGTCCTTTACATCCATAAACGTTATATATCAGTGGAACAAATGGAGTGAGCTTTGAGTGTCCCACGATTTTTGGAGACTGTCTATACGCGGGCTTCCTAAACAAGCCTATATGTATGTTTGTCCAAAAAAATTTTGGATGAAATACAAACCGCACAACTTCAAAATCGCATAAAAAAATCCGCATAAAACGAGAACTTACAGTAACTAACTAGATAGTAAGCAAGTTGTTCTTTTGCTCATTAACAGAATGTTAATTGCTAACACTCATATTCAAACACAACAATATTCAAATTAGATAAGATAAATGTCAAAAGTTTATTCATCATTTGTTTGTAAATGTAAATATAAGTTTGTAATAATAAACTGAATATTTTCTAAACAAGTTCAAAAATGCTCAAGAAACCTAAGGCATATTTTCATAAGTATTGAAAAATTATATGTAATTAGTTTTGATTTACTTCAGCTATTAAAAAAGAGTACTTTATCAAAACTTTTTATCTGAAATAAGAATTTCTGAGGTATCTAAGATAGAGTATTTGGGAACATTGGCTGCGTTCAGCAGACTCAACAGTTGTAACCGAGCAAATCAAAAGCTGTTACATAGTAACCTGGATCTGCTGAATCATGAGTGATATTGCATCAGAACTAACAGCCTCACTGGTCACTTTCAGGTAGCAATAGGTAGTGTAAATGAAAGACGCAACCAAATGTGACATCAAAACACCAAACATGTTCCGAAAGAGCACTACCGTAGAGGGCATTTGGCAGAAAAATACTCAACAGCTTTGGAACCATTGAGTCTGCTGAATGCAGTCATTTATAGTTAAAGTTTACCTAAGTAGACCCATTGGTGGCACCAGTGCCGGCCCGAGGCAAGTTTTAGGATGGAGCGAGATCCTATTATGGCGCCCCTTTGGTCAGTAGCGTAGTGAACATAACTGGCGCTCGGGGCACGACACTTTATTGGCGTCCCCTCCAGAAACACATATAGTTCGTCTTGGAGACCATTTGGGCGCCCCTCTGCAAGTAGCGCCCGGTGCTTGATACACCCCCTTGCACCCCCTCGCTACGCCACTGCCCTTGGTTGCCCCAAATTTATACCCTTTAATTTTCTTTACCACTGAGGCGCCCCCTAGGACTTAGCGCCTGGAGCGGTTGCTCCTTTCGCCCTATGGTAGGGCCGGCTCTGGGTGGCACTTCCAAATGTTCATGCTCCCAATGGACTTCTCCTGGAGGGGAGCCACTGATTGTTTAATGTCACTAGTTATTGATTCATGGTAATTCTTGAACAAAAACAAAAAGGAAATGTCTACTAAAAATGTAGTTAACCTAACTTAACTTAACCACCACCATTGGGACAACCTAGGTAAACTTTAACCCCATTTACACATAACAGTACAAGTAGACTTAAAATTTAAGGTTCAGACAATGGTTTTTGTAGTAGCATCAACATATTAATATGGCCAATGTTAAGTAACTAATATCTAAAGGAAATGTTCGTATAATGCCTTATAACTCTCAGAATGTAATTATTATTAACCTAAATGATATTTACACACAGATGAAAGGTACAGGACCCAATATCTGTTTGCTTGTGATGTTTTTCATGAAAATCAATGACTAGTAACTACAGAAACCTAAGTAAACGATAAAATATGAGTAAATTTACTTCGGAAATCCAAATCGTTCTCCTCCATTTACAAGAATTCTCGTAGACGATAACCATTCCGGCGTAATTACATCTGGAGGAATTATTTTCCCTTCGATCGTGTATCTGTCATACACTTGTTCTTCTTCTCCCAAAATACACCTTAACACAACAGTTACAATAAATATTAAAAGATAATTCGGAAACTGCGACATTTTAATTCACATGAATTAGAACTTTAAAAATGCGCCGTGCTTCGTTTCCTAACGTTAGTTTAAGCAATAATCTCAAGTTGAATTTACGCGTGATTCGATTAGTCCGTCCATCTTTGAATTTCTCAAAACGACCAATCATCTGAATTGTACCTAAAAGAATACGATAAGGATAAAACAGTGTTAAATAAATATAGTTTCGTAATTTACTCGAAGAAAATAAAAAAATATTAAAGAAATCGAATGTATAATATTTTATTATGTATTCAATTTTTAAATAATTTAATTCTAAAAATGTTATTTAGTAAGATTTGTATTTGGTAATTGACATAATTATGGAAGACGTGGTTGTCGATTTCATCCAAAACAAGAGTGGATTGAGAAATTTTTAATTTTTGATGAGGAATTTCTACGTTTATATCAATTAAATTGCGGTGAGTTATTAATGTTTATTTAATTCTTTATAAACAAAGTACAAATAAAATATTGTTATTAAAATGTTTTATTTTATAATTTGATTTAAATTTTTAAATTGTAAAACATACAATTGAAGCACAAAATCAACATTTACAATAATTTAAAGTTTGTTTTTTAAATTTTAATTCTTCTTTTTCAGTTTTTATTTACAGAACATTCATTTTTACAAAAAACAAATTTCAAGATTCTGTGGAAATAAAATGGAAAAAAGTTACATTTCATGCTGTGAAAATTAAGATTTTTTTTTGTCTTAATATAAAATAAAATGTCCAAATTGTGTTATGAATTTTATAAATTTAAATATATATCTGGATAAAACTGATAATTTATCTTTAGATTAATTGCAAGCAAACAAAATCTCCAAAACTCAAAATATATTAGAAAATTATGCTTTATTGGAGTGAATTCTTTTTGATATTTAAAGTCTAAATTCTTTTGAACTTTGTTGGTTATTCTTCAGGAGCATAAATTATTCCAAAATCAAACAATATTAATGTTAGGTTAAACATGTTTAAGTTATTTGAAAGACCAATTATCAAAAAGGAAACAGACTTTTAATAAATATTTTTTGATAAGTCCTATGTTACAAAATAGATTTTTCAATTTCAATATGATATTCGATGATTTCAATATATCACGTGGTTGAATGGCTATCAAACATTTCTAAATTACAAGTTGATTGTATATACTTATATTTTTGAAGGCATATGAAAATATAAAAGAGTAATTGAATACGATTCTTGTATTTTATGTAGTAATGCATTACATTTTAATAACCTTCAGCAGATAAGATAAAAATTCAAAATTATATTATTGAATAGAAATAATCATAAACTGTCTTTGGGAGTAACGCGTTAAAATAAAAACAGAAATCCAAGTTGCTTTTTAAGTCAAATGTCATATTATTGAATTTAATTTTAAAATATTTTATTGGAAAATTCAATGAAGTTCTTACCGTTTCTGATTTATTAATAATGTCTTTATGAGTAAAATATTGAATGTATAGTAATAGTTATTGTTTAAATTAGTATCATTTATTTTAATAATTAAAATTTTTTAACTTTAACAGTATTCCAGATAAGCTGTAGGGGTATCAAAATGTTCATCATATTGGACAGAAGAAGTCATTTTATCTTGATGAAGCTTGCTGGTTAGATTAGTCTTTTTTTTATATAGTCTGTGCACATTTATGCATTTATCTCATCTGTTATTCACTTAGTGCAAGCCATCACTGTAGAAATTTGTCTACTCAGAAAATCATTTCTCCACTACAGAAATCTTAAAAACTGATTTCTGTAATTGAGGAATGAATTTTCTCTCTATTACTGTTCAATTGCCATCCAAAAGTGGAGTCTTCATGTAGCAGAAGAGGAAGAAGTTTCTTGAAACAAGGTTGGGCAAATAAGATTGATATGAAAGAATTTCGTATTCACATTTCATCGCAACTGTGGCAGTTGCAAGTATTACATGTGCAGATGCATTTTCATGAAGGAATCTAGGACTGTGGGCACGCAATTGGAGTTGAAAGCTTTTCAGAAAGAAAAGA